TTAGCAATCATAAATTAAATTTACTTTAATGATCCTTCAGATGAATTTACTAAATCAGCCAGCCAAGGCATAGACTGTGAAGTTCCCTGGCGTTGAATGATGTCTAAAAGAAAATCAGGGTCTCTTGAACGGCACAACAAGTGGCCAATACGTAGGTTTGTATTCATAACTCTTAGTTGTTCTAATACAGACGATGGTGGACGCCTAGGTGGACCAATAGGATCCATACCCATAAGTTGACTTAACAGTAAACTCGTCTGTTCAGTTATTGTGACTTTTGTAGAAGCTGCAGCCAAATAAGATTCAAATTCAAGTATTTTTTGTTTTTCAACTGATTGCAACTGAAGATCTTCCAGGAATGTGGGGAATGAAAAATTATTTGTAATACACATCTCAATAAATATTCTTAACATTGGATATTTTCGGCAGGCTAGAGTTCCAAAAACTAATGGTATGTGAGCGCAATATATCAACATTATTAACCATGTTTTCCAATACAAATTTGATATGGCTAATTGTGGAGGTGTATATCCTAATGGTAACTCAATTTTATCAGGATGATGATATGCACATGAATTCAATAATATTTCAAATAATTCACATTTGTCAGCTAAAAATAGTATGGTTAGTTAATATAGTCAAATTGTGTTTAAAACATATATCTATAGACTTTTACCTCTAATGGTATTAAAATTCTGAAACACTTGTAGTGAAGCAGCACGTTTTACTAATTGATCTACCAACTCCAAGGCGTCTGGTGAGTTCAAAGGATGTTCTTTTGATAATCCAATCATAAGTATTGTTATAACTGTACCTTGTAGCAATGGTACTTCAGTAGCGATTCTAAACATTGTTGTTCTATCTTGTTCAGGAGGCCAACTTTCTAATTTATAATACTGTTCAGATGGCTCCATTAACAATATCTAAAATCACAAATAAAACTTATCATTATCCTTAAAAAAAAAATAATAATCCAATAAACGCAAAAATAGTAAATAAAAAACTGTATTGATGATAAATAAAATATATACTTTGTGTAATGCATGAACAAAATCAGTAGGAGAAGGCCGATAAGTTCTTAATACACTTTCTTGGAGCCACACGACGCCATCTTTTTGAATTTTTGATATAACTTGTTGCATTTTTTCAAACTAAAAAAACAACTAGTTATTTCTATTACAAAATATTGACTTATTTTTTTACCTGTACAACATCTTTTCGTTCTGAACGCATATATGGGTACACAGTTAGAAATATGCACAATGTTAAAAGATCTATAATTCCAGCAAAAACTCTATCCTTAACCTCAGGGGTTTGATTTAATGGCTCTTTGGCACCTATAAGACCTTGACAAAAAGTCAAAAAGTTGAAATCAGACCGAACTTGGCGCGATATTTCTCTAAGAAGTCCACGTAATGGCCTTAAATAATCATCTCGTAATATCAATAATTCCTAGTTATAAATTAAAATTATTGGTACATCAGAATAATTCTTAAATAATTTAAAAATTCAAACTTGAAAAATGTCAGCTAAAAGTAGTGCACTCTGATCTGGTTCAGCTTTGAAAATAACTTGAAAAATTGCCATATTACTTGTATTTCGTGAGGTAGACAATTCATTATAAACTACATTTTTTAATACAACTGGCAAATTAGATGAATTTATTGAAATTAGCTCTCTAAAAAAAATAATATTAAGTGATATTATTGTTAAATGTTTGACTAAAATTYTARTGATTTAAAATTTATGCGTTTGTAAAAAAAATTTAATTTTCTTACTTGATACATGATACGTAAAAGTTACCCATTGCTTTTGTTTTTAATCTCATTTTAACAATAGTTGAAATAACATCAAAGTCTCTTTGAGTACGTGAAGTACAGTTAACACAGACAGCTAAAAGTAATTCTTGGGCTGGCCGGACGAGTTTGGCATTTTGTAACCAAACTTCCAATTTACCAGCAACCATAACTCGAATCTAAAATTTTAATTTTAATTATTCATTAAATGATATTAATTGTAACAACTAACCTCTAAAATTCCAGCAGCAACTGATAATAATTTTAATAAATTTCTGGATATTCCCTCAGTTGATTGTCTTCTAATTAAATATTCTTTGGCAACGTCTAAAATAATATTTTCAATTACTGATTGATTTGCTCCATATCTTGGCACAACAGAAACTTCATAAGTTTCTGGTGAAAATATTGCTGTTTCTGTTGAACTCATTGTATCCAAAAAATCCAAAGGAATAAAAGGCGAAGGACGTGTATTGAGGCTAACTCTTATGTTTTCAACAAAATATCGGCATTCTTCATTATCTACCCACAAACGTTCACCCATCGAGTCTTCTACAAAAACCTTAAAATAGATAAATGATGATGTTATTTACAAAAATGGTTTAATTATATTTTAAATAAGTACTTACCTTGACAAATGCTTCTGGCCAAATTGATAATTTATCGTGTGATAATACTAATAAATTAACAGAAGTAACTGCAGCTATTATGTTATATTGTCGCTGTTTGGTTGAAGCAACTGAATGACATGTAAGAATGGAGCACAAAGCATTTATAATTTCTTCATTATGAAACAATGTAGGAAATTGGCGAGCAGCAATTAATAAACTCCAAAATAAATCTGGTTTTAATCGCTGTGTATGCATGGTTTTAAAAGCTCCAAAAAGTAATCCGATCTAAAATTGAATAACTAATAATTAAGCAAGTTTTATAATTTAATACAGTATTTTATTTAAAAGGTAATAACCATAATCATAAAAAAAAACATAATAATGGGATTTTAAAACTTTTATTGTAAATTTTACTTGCACWCATAACAAATAGAATATAGGATAAAGTATTTAAAATTTGTAAATTATCTTCACAGTAACTAAATTATTTAATTAATTAAAATATATAGTATGAATTAATGAACTCTATTTTTAGGTAAAAATTAAACTAATTAAATATATCAAGTCATGTATTGTTAGAAAAATAATTTTATTTTTATATACTTACAGCTTTTAGATTTTCTTGATTTTGAATAGAATAACTTAATGATTCAATCAAGTCAATGGAATCAACTTCAATACACATCTGTTCCCAAGCAAATGAACTATGACTAGAGCCTGCATGTTTAGGCTTTTTACTAGGTATTGAAGACATGGGAGGTCCAGTTCGTTTTCTATCTAAATTTAAAATGGTGAAAACATAGTATTAAATGTTATAATTTATGCATAATTATAGAACATATCATTAGTAATACAAATTAATTAATTAACTTGGCAAAATAATAAGTTTTTTGTTTTCTATGGACAAGCACAATAATTACTGTCAATTGCGGTGTTCTACACATAAATATAGAAACCAAAAATATTAAGGTGCTTTATTTATTTAAACAAATACTTATATCAATAACCATGTTTCATCTGGTGACTGATTTTCATCAGTGTCATACATCAAGACAATCAAAAAAAAA